GCTCTGCACTCAACATTTTTAGAGCTAGATGGCTGATTTTTCGTATAGCTGCTCGTCTATCCTTTCTTGATGTCCACTGAAAATTTCAAGTTTCTGTGATTTTTGGTTTCGGAGATATGACCTTGTTTTTCAGGTCATGTCATGACCCAAATGGCCAATTCTCAACATCTTGCGTTTGCCATGGGCGTTGTGAGCTTTTGACACCCTGATTTCGGCCTTTTTTGCCAGTCTTACCTCCCACCTATCATGGAACATGTTGTTCGACGATGTACAGGGGTCAAGGTCAGGGTCAAGGTCAACCTAGGTCATCTAAGATAATTGCGTTTTAGGCAAGCTGAATTTACTTTTTGTGAAGTTTTTTGACTGAATTTTTGGTAAAAGCTTCTCAGATCATGATTTCATGTAATATGGACCCAAAAACAATCGGTGCACACATCAGTATACACACAGACACACACAGACATACAAACACATATAATTGACCTTGACCTAACTTGACCTGAAATGACCTCAGCAGCAAAAATCTGGTCGGATACTGTGACAAAGAGGTTCTAGCTGGCTTGGCACCAGAAAACAGCATCGTCATCGGTACTTGATAAGCAGCGCACTTGATATCCAACGGTGACCCAAAACAGCAACATTTTTTAGTTTGACCTGACCTGGAAGGTCAATGACTGACCTGAGAAGGTAAAACTGGGTATCATTGGATTCGTCTCTTCCCAAAGAATCTTTTTGGTCTTTACTGCTAAGCTCTATCTCCAACAGGAACGAAATGGCGCGGGGGGGTGGCAACCACCCCCCCCCCCATGTGCGTTCTAGGATGGGAAAATGGCATGTGCGGGCGAGGGTTAAAACAAGCTCTCGAACCGATTTAACATCATTTCTTGCATGATGCCTGATGGCCACAGTAAAAAAGAACAGCTAAAAAAACTACAAAAACTATGGAATGCCTTTCTGAAAGCTATTGAGCACCCCTAATGATTTTTGGAAAACTACACCCATGAGGGGGCAAAAACTGCAAAAATAGCCGATTTTTTCGGAAACAGTTTTTCTGCAATAACTTTTGACCCAAGCCCCGTACGAGCTTACTTTTACCGGCATCGTGTTCCTCTCGTCAAGACGCATCGAATGAACTATACTTTGACCTTGAAAGGTCAACTTGAAAATTTGACCTCAGGTCAAGGTCATGACCTGACCGGAAAGGGTCATGTTGCATATCAGTCGATCCGTATCGTCGAGCTGAACACATCTAAGGCGATTTCATCCCTCTAGTATGCCTCTATCGAAAGTTATTTGCGAAAAACTGTTAGATACCATTCGTGACCTAAGATGACCTCAGGGCATAAACAAGGGTCACGGACACCATTTTCATGTTCAGTGTGTCTAAACCACTTGTAATTCGGTGTTTGGGAGTGTTTATAATGTCTTTCGTCCAAAAGAGGCGCATTTCAATTTTCTCCCATTGACTTATAATGGGGAGGTTGCAAAATTGACCTGACCTTAGGTCATCGATAGCAAAATTCTGAGATATACATTTTGTACATGCTATTGCTCTTAGCAATCGCTGAAAGTTTCAAAGCGATCGGTCACTCGGTGTAGCTATGACAGACATTGAAACTTTTTATGAGGTGAGGTCACTTCAAGTGACCTGGTGACCTGACCTTGAATGACCTTGGTCTGAAATTTTCACAACATGTGTAGAATTGATGTATGATAAGGTGTACCAAAAACGGCGGCGCTCCGCGCCGCCGTTTTTGAGATATTCGCGAAAAACCACAAGGGGGGGTGTTCAAACACCCCCCCCCCCCAGCAGGGCGCGGGTTAAGACCCGCAACACGTCTCCACTCGAATAAAAGGTAAAACCAGCTAAGATCTACATGAAAGCCGCCACGGAATAAAGCCTTGCACCTTTGGCAGTTAAAGCAGCTGACTAATTGATGAATATCCTTGCACATAACTCCCGGCTGTGACAGCGGCACAGTCAGATGGCTAGCGGCAGTCGTTGAGAGCATTGTGACCGGCTTTCCCATTCAATGGCGGCAGCTGGCACGCAGAGGAATAGATGAAACTAATGCTGGTGGCATATGGCAGCCACTGTGATGAGCGGCTGCCGTGCTGGTCGCATTATGTGAGAAGAATGGAAGATTTCACAATATATGTGGGATTGAATGGATTAGACATGAACTTTTCTCCTTTTTTAACCCGTTGAGGTGGGGGATTTCCTCTGTCATTTTTATGTATGTTCTTCACGAAAAGATAACGGCTTGACCCGCCATAAACTTTTACTCTACACTTTGACCTTTCCTGACCTTTCCTTCTTGGGGAATATTGTGCAAACATCTTTAATTCCCTCATTGCGCAGGAGAGTCTCCAGGGCCAGTTTATTGGGAGGGTCTTTGCGCTAAACTTCGGCTCTCAACGACATTCGCCGCTGATAACCCGTTGGCTTTACTTCCGTCAGCGATAGGTGGTACCTAACGTCATATTTATGGTCTTGAGGTGCGTGACATCACTTCAATGTCAACTCGTCAATAGGCGGTTGTAGGTAGATGGGGTTAGAATCTCGCAAATAGTGTGGCGGTGGAAATGTCAAAATGGAACATAAAATTCGACGGATGTGACATTTCTAGCAGGTCAAGTCAAACTGTCTATAAACTATCCAAACAATAAAACGTCCTTACAGTTGGTATTCAAACACTGTCTAATCTGCCTGAACTTAGTGTTACTTCTATATGTATGTACATAAATGTCAGGTCGTTTGTTAAGCACATCGATCATTCAATTCGCAGGATCTCATACGGACAATATTCATTCTGCTAAAAAATGCATGAAGGCCTTTACTGTAACAATTTTATTTTTCAAACGACCTGCAGCAGTTATTCGAACAAATACATGCTTTCTCCTAATCTATCCAAATTTTCATTAACCCGCGCCGGGCCGGGGAGTGTTTGAACTTTGAACACCCTCCGGCGGCGCTCCACGCCGCTGTTTTTGGCACACCTGTTCGTGCATCTTTTGCGCACATGTTGTGAAAATTACAGACCCGGGTCGCTCAAGGTCAGGTCACCATGTCACGCCAAGTGACCTCACCTCAGATAAAAATTGGAATGCCCGTCATAGCTACACGGACTGAGCAATTGCCTTGAAACTTTCAGCGATTGATAAGAGTAACAGTATCTATAAACGTATATCTCGGAATTTTGATATCGGTGACCTAAGGTCAGGTCAATTTTGCGGCCTCTCCATTATTACCTAAATCAATGGGAGAAAATTGAAAAGCGTCTCTTTTGCACGAACGCCATTCTAGACACTCTCAAACATCGGGATGCAGGTAAAATTGACACACTGAACCGGAAAATGGCACCTATGACCCCCGTTATGTCCCTGAGGTCATCTCAGGTCACAAATAGTGTCTGTTTTTCGCAAATGACTTCTGATAGAGAATTGCTAGAGCGATAGAAACGCCTTAGATGTGTTCGGCTCGACGATGCAGATCGACTGATATGCAACATGACCTTTCCCGGTCAGGTCATGACCTTGACTTGAGGTCAACTTTTCCAGCTGACCTTTTAAGGTCAAAGTATAGTTCATTCAAAGCGTCTCGACGAGAGGAACACGATGCTGGCAAAAGTAATGTCGTGGCTCTTTTGATACAAAAGTTATTGCCAAAAAACAGCAATCGTAAAACGGTTATTTTTGGAGTGTTTGCCCTTTGAAGGCTAAACCGTTGATCTTAAGCCAAATTGGAGGACATGTCGGCGAAAGAGCGTTAAAAGAGCTATCGAATGCTCTTTTCCGCGGCGCTGTAGCTCTATCGGTTCCCGAGTAAGCCGTTGGCAGTTTTCAAAATGTTGAAATAGCTAACATTTTACCTTTGGTGACCTCTGGTTACCTGACCTTTGACCTGGCCCAAAACATGACCTATGTGTTTTCGTCCTTATTTTTGACGTCCTTTCGATTGCCGCTTACTGCGTGGCGCTACGTGGCCCAGGAGTCGAGTTAGAGGGGGGGGGGGGTGTTCGGACACCCACGGGCCGGCGCGGAAGTCTCGGAGCACCGGCCCGCCTAGCTGTCTCTGTCTCTTCCTCTCGCACGTTCCTTCCCCCTCTCTCTCCCCTCTTCTTCTCCTCCCTCTCCCATCTCTCAATCCCTCTCGGTCTGCTCAATCTGAGCACCGATAAGCGCCTCTCAGCCAGGACCTCAGTGTCGCCGGCGTCGTCAGGCCCCATCCAGCCTGGCCCCATCCAGGTGCGACGCACTGAGTGCTGATGTATTATTTAGCGAGCTCAAGGTTGCACGGCCGGCCAGACCGGTCCTATGTGTAAATCCGGCTCGGACACAGCGCAAATCCGGCTCATCCGGTTTTCAAAAACGATGTTGAGCATGCTGCCCAAGCTGGTTTTTGTTGAGGTAGGACTTCATGAATAGCAACAGGGGCTCCACGCAGGGAGTGTCAATGGCATGAGTCATTGAAGTTGTGGCTTCCGTAAAGAAGTATTTTCCAGGCGCACGATATATGATTTATTACGAGCATCAGCACCGTTACGATCTATGTACATTTGAAAAAAAATAGTACAACCACCAAAGATTTGGAAGAAGCACAAATGCATAAAAATGTTTTGCATGTATTTTCAATGACAATTAGAGGGTGAAAATTAGAAATTTAAATGATGAAGTAGCTAGCGAAATTAGCCCTGACAAGCACGAAGAAGTAGTTAAGTAATAACCAACATTCATAACCCTCCATTGTGCCCGAAGGGGACGAAAATTAAAAGTACTTTGCTTATCAAAGGTTACGAGACAACTGCAAATGCGTCAATCGTACACAAGAAGTTGTGATACCGTCTATAAGCCTCTTATACGGCCTTGCTATAAGCACACGCTTTTCTTAGTGTACAGAGTTTTTATACGTATAGCGACGTTTTTATATATGTATGTATGCATGGCGACAGTTTCTTCGTATAGCGACGAATATTTAACTCAAATTATCAAATTTTCCAGCGACGCAGGCTTCAAACTTCAATAGGTCTGATCGTCAGGCCTGCATCGCCGTCCGTTCTAGCATATCATCGGTCAGCTCCTGGCTGCAGCGTCCGGCAGCTGCCCAAGTGGCTCCTGTCGCGGTGGCGGCAGCTCTGCCTCTGCCACCGCCGCCGCCGAGCGGAGGGCCGGCCGTGGCGGTGAGATTGTAGGTTAGCGTGCGTCTCCGGGCCGTCGGCGCGCCGCGCCGGGGGCGGTGCCGTTGCGCCGAATCGGGCCGCTCGACAGCCTCTTATAAAACGGCCGCCACGCCACCGAGAGGCACAGTGTGACTCCAGCAGTCCAGCAGTTCACTTGCCATCTGTAGTAGGCTAGTCCGACCAGGTACGTGCCCGGTGGTGACTGTGAGAGCGACAAGTCTCGAGGAAGCGGCGGCGGCGGCGGCGGCGGCGGCGGCGCTAAGACCGGTGTGGGACCGTGGTGTGACCGGCCCGGACTGTGAGGTGACCTCAGGTGCTCGGTGTGGCACGTGCTGGCGGCGGCGGCGAAGGCGAGAGCTCAGAATGGACCGATCAGTGCTGCGCATCTTCTGCTATCTGGATATTATCATTTGCTGTTGATTTATTTCTGTTTTTCACTGCCTGCTGACAGCAGTTTGCCATTCAACCCCTAGAATTCATTCAATTTGGCTCTGGTGTCAAATTTGTACTTATCTCAGAAGCTTGCGATATCATCAATTTTCTTACAATAAAAATGTTAGAGCATTATATAATTCTGTCATTTCCTACCACTTGCTTTGGTTCAAAAAACCGTTGCAACGTAAATATTGATGCATAGAAGTTCAATGTCATTTATAACTGGTCTAGCCTGTAATACCGGTACCGGTTGAACTTGACGTTTCTCGGGAGCTGGTTAACGTACTACTCCAGTGGGCCGGTTGGGCCGGTTTTTCTGTAATCCAGCAGCAGTCATTGATCAGTCGCTCTGTACTTACGCCGGAGCCGTCGCCCTGCCTGGCGCGCCCACTGTCACCTGACCTAACCCAGTCCGGGAGGTGACCTGACCTGAGGTCACGCTCTGGCCGGCCATCGACCGCCGGACCATCAGGGACCACGGCGGGACTGTCAAGGACCGCCTGGGACCGATGGTCTGCTGCTGGTCTGGTCTGGTCTGTCTGGTCTGGCGCACGCTGCCGCCCGCCTCGCTTCGCTGCTAAATGTCTCGCTCTTTTCGATTTTTTTAGTCATTTACATTTTTACTCAATGTTCATTATAAGCTCGATATCATAAAGTCCATCTTATCTTTGATTTAAATTAACGCACTTGATTATTATTATTGGTATTCTGTTCTTTGTCATTGATTGAATTCTACAAAAGTTTACAAAGTATCGTATTTGGTTTCATTCTCAATTCAAATCACGAGCGTGACATCGCTTCACGGTGTCGCCTCCTCATTCTATAAGTGTTTATTTATTTGTGTGTACCATGACTGTGCAGAGCTGTACAAAGCTGTAAAGGCACCAAAGCACCCCGCCGGCGCGTGCTATCGGCTCCGCTCACCGATCCACCGAACCATTTCACGTCACTCAGAGCATGCGTTTCCACTTTCGGCGCGGCGGCGGCAGACGGTGACGCGTGGCGCGTGCCCGATTCGGGTCGTGTCGCGCTCGCCGCCGCCTCTGCCGCGCCGGGAACGCCTCTCGGGAGTGTGTAGAAATGAGTCAGTGGGTTGGTGGTGGCCCGGTGCTCGGCTGCGGCCCCGGCCTGCCGTCAGGCAGCGCGCTGGGGTCAGTAACCGATCACCGGCCGGCCGGCCGGCCGGCGCGCCGTCCCGTTAGCGGTGTCGGTCGCGGCGGTCGGCCGTTGGCCACGAGCGGAGCCGCTCGGCGCCGCCGGCCTCCCGCTAATCGGCCACTGTATATAGCGCCGCGCCGCTCAACATCTGTTGTGCACTTGCAGGCCGCCAGAATGAACCGCACCCTTTACGCTGTGGGAGTGTTGCTCCTGGCTGCCGCCGCTCAGGCCAGCGACGTAGCCAATGTTTACGACGAGGCTGATTCCCGCTTCTTGTTTGACGAGAACGCCACCACCTCCCTGGCCGTGTCCTTCTCCTCGCTGGCCGCTGGCCTGCTGGCCCTGCTGGTCGTTGGCCTCCTCATGGCCGTCCTCTCGTTCTTCCTGTTCGGCTCGGCTGAGGAGACGGGCTACGCCACCGCCGGCTCGTCCTACAGCTCCTACGGCTCCGCCAGGGCTGCGTACGTATACAGATCGACATGGTGGTGGCGGGAATATGGACAGGGTGCGGCGGCATCGCACCCGGCCGCCGCGCCGTGCATGCTACAGATTTTACAACATGATTACATTGACATGCAGGTAAGACGGCCCCTGCGGTCGAAAGACACGTACATACACGAAATTTCCAACAACATGGTGATGGCATACAGACTCACATTCGCAAAATATATCCATCAGTATTACGATAAGAGCTGACACGAAGATTACACGAAGATTACATGAAGATTACACGAAGATCATACGCTTCACATGGCGAGCATCGATTGACCTCGGCCATAGATCCTTTTTGCCTTGTCGGTAGAGTTCCCTAATTAATCTTAAAGTTCACTATTTGTCCTCCTGACGGCGTTAATCAGAGTAAAGAGCCCTTAAGCTCAACGCCCTGCACTATTTTCAGGAAGGCAAGATGCTGACCCACCTGCTCCTCGCTGTGCTGTGCACATCGGCGTTCGCACTCGACCCCTATGAGGTGGAGGACCCCTCAGACGCGCGGTTCCTCTTCAACACCTCCAACCTGAGTGTCAGCCTCAACTCAGTATACGCTGGCCTGCTGGCCATTCTGGGAGGCCTGGCCCTGCTGGCCGGTCTCGCCTACCTCCTTTACCTGCTGTCTGGCGACACTGACACGGGCTACAGTAGCCTCTCGTCGTACGGGTCCAGCGGTAGCAGCGGCTACAGCGCCCGGTACGTGCCCGCGCCCCAGTCCCCTCACCGCCGGCATGCCGCCCGCGCTGTTGCAGATGATGATGGCAAACAGCATGTTGGTTTGCGTGTGGCTGTGTGCGCTTGTGGCTGCTGCGCTGGCCGAGGAGACGCTGCCGACTGTGCAGTCGCGGCTGTTCTTCCTCGGCAACACATCAGGCCTGACAATCAGCCTGAACTCGCTATACGCTGCCCTGCTGGCCGGCCTGGCCGGTCTCCTGCTGCTAGCTGCGCTCGCATATCTGATTTTCCTTCTGAGTGGGGACGTCGACACAGGCTACTCGGGCTACTCGGGCTACTCGGGTGGCTACTCGGGTGGCTACTCGGGTGGCTCAGGTGGCTACTCGGCTCGTTCCGCCTCGTACGTACCGGGGCAGGCGCCCCGCGGCACACACACTCACTCTGATGGTTGTCACACGCCGGCGCCCCTCTGGCCCGGCGGCACCTGAGAAAGACGGAGGGCGGAGAGGGCGCAGCCGGAACAGGTAAGCACTCCACAGGTCAGCTCGGAGGAGAAGCGGTTACATCCTTCATTCCTCCATCAATCCCACCCGCATGCCTCAGAGCGCCTCATTGCGCTAATAAGTGTTGTCAACAAAACTAACAACTAATAAGTAAATCTATCAATGTTTTGCACCTCCAGACACTCTACCACCACGTCAGGAGTCGGTTCATTCTCCGCGCTTGTGCGCACCATAAACCTTCACTTACTAACAAGCACCTATCTTCACCCTTACAGACAAACAACACAACATGAGGGCATTATCTACCTTCCTCTCAGTTGCCTCCGGCTGTCTCTTTCACACCGCCTCGGCGACGGTCTCTTCACCTGTGGACCTCTCTCGTCACACCACTCTCAGTTCTGTCTCACCTCGTCAGTCTCTCACAGACGTCTCTCTTGACGTTCCCTCGCTGATCCTCGCGCTGCTCTCAGCGGCATTCATCCTGTTTATTATTCCTGCCGTAATCGCCTTCCTAGTCGAGTTGTTCCGACGACTCAGCAGCAATCGAGGAGCTTACGATAGGGCTGATGAGTATGAGTATGACTACGACTACATCTCAGGCAGCAGCCGAGCAAGGTGAGTGCTTCGGTGTCGGTTTAACGCTTTGCTACTCACTAACCAAGTGTGTTTGAATATGCACCCATGTACAAAGGCCTCCCCAATGTGAATACCTACCCTCCCGCACTCTCGATCACCACATCTCACGAGCCCGTTCATTTTCAGGCATCATGTACCGGCTACCGATCCTTTTCCTGCTCTGTGTCTCGGCCGCGCGGGCCTATGACGAGTACGAGCTGGCGTCCAACTCGATCGAGGACGAGCTCGATCCGCGCTTCCTCTTCTTCAACGCCACGGGCTCGCTGATCCCGTTGAGCGCCTCCTCGGTGCTAGCCTCGCTCGGACTGCTGGCCACCCTGGCACTGCTGGGCATCGGCTTCTGGCTGCTGCTCGGCTCCATCGGCAGCAAGTTCTCCGGCGGCTTCGGCGGCGGCTACGGAGGCGGCTACGGCGGCTACGGCGGCGGCTACGGCCACGGCCACGGCGGCTACGATGGCGGCTACTCGGGTGGCAGCTCCTACTCGAGCTACGGCCAGGCCAGGTACAGCGACCAGATGCTGTACATACCCGCTGGCGAGACGCGCTGTACAATACCGACCAGCTGTAAATGAAGCTGACCAGCAGAAGTAGTTCGACTTGTACAAACAAACCCCTGCAGAGCAATCTGCTGTACAAACTCCGACTTGCACATACGCTTGGTTCCAGTAGCTAGCTACTGTTTGTAAGCTAACCCCACCAACTGAGCACCTGGGAACTGCTCTGCCGGTCTGCCGTCGATCGGGGCCGCCTCGCTCGGCGCCCGACGTTGATTGTCTGCCTTCTGTTCTTAGCATGTCCCGCCAGATCGCCGTTGTACAGATGCTGCTGCTCCTGATGGCTGCAGCGGTCGGTGGATCCTCTGTACCGTTCACTGCCGGAGACGCCCTCGGCGCGGTGGCGGTGGCTCGGTCCGGTACCAGCGCCGGGGTGCCCCCGCGTCCTGATCTTCCCCAGCCTGCGGCCGATCGGCGCACCGCGTCCGCTTCAGGCTCCTTCGTCTCGCAGCCTCCCGCCGATCCAGCCACCATGTCCTCCAGCGATGTCTACTCTTCCTACCCTCCGTACAGCCCGACTCCTTACCCGTATCCGTACCCCTACCCCTACCCGCAGCTGATCTACTCCACGGCCCCGCCCTCGGCCTCTCCCGACGACACCTCCCGGCTGTTTGGGAGCATCGGCCACACGCTGAACCCGGCCCACCTCTTCACCTGTCCGTCGGGAAGCATCGGCTGCGTCATCACTAAGATCGCCGCCGCCGTGTTCGTCCTGGCCGGTATCGGGCTGGCAGTGTACTTGGTCTACGCCCTGGTGACGGGAAAGCTGGGCAACGGCATCGGCAGGTAAGCGGACGCTCGCGCCGCTCGGCTAGCTCGGCCAGCTCGGCTAGCCTAGCCAGCTCGGGCTGCCGCAGAGTCACTGACCGTCACCCGGCGGAAGATGCACCGCTAACCAGCAACCTGACGGGTTCTGAAGAGGACATCGAGCGACTCTAACCGACGCACATCGGAGACGTCGCATCTCTGTGTACCATAGAGCACTCGACAGGTCTACGAGACCTGACCTGACCTGACCCGCCTGTACCATACCCCTGCCATCCTCTGGAGACGCCTTTGTCACGGAGTGACATATTCTAACACCTTGTGTTTCAGCAGTACAGCGAGGTAACGTGAGGTACCCGGTGTGGTATCCGAAGTACCTGTAGCTAGCTCGGTGGAGGGATGCATGGCTGGTACATCACTGTACCGAAGGCGACCTGGCCAACGGCCTAGCGCTTCTGCTTTCGGCTGCTTCTAACGATAATTTGCTTTTGCTGTTTGTGTGTTGTAGCTGCTTTTGTGTCAATTCCTAGTTTTGTTTTTCGCTGTTATTGCTGACACATTCATGTCCAGCAGCTATTCAATGATGTGCGTTTCAGTTCAGCTAATCGATATAATTTGATCCTTCACATTGAATAAGCGAAGTTCAAAGTTCTTATGTTCCTAGCTGCAGTAAAGTAACGTACCGAACTCCTCCCAAAGCACGCGTGTCACCGTCTGATGATGCCCCCGTTCCACTGCAGGTCTGCCTCTGACCCGTACTCGGCCGTCTTCGACAAGCTGTCCATCCTGGACTGGATCGCCATGATGGAGGAGGTAAGACAACGTCACGCACGCGCGCTTCACTGCCAAGGTTACTATCTGCGTGTAGTCCTCATCTGACCGTGACATGACTGGCGCGCCTAAGCCCTGTTCGCGCTGTTTTCTGGCGAATTTCGCGCCGATTTGACGCCGTCACTCTCCTCTTCTGCGCAGGTCTACCGCAACTTTGACGCCACCAAGATGGAGTGCCAGCAGCGCATCGTGTGCGAGCTGCACCAGAACGAGAACACCTGGGGCACCACCGCCCGCAAGATGAACGATGCCTTCAGGTGAGCCTCAGCCCGTCGCGTGCCGCCCTCAGCGGTCCAGCCAGAGCTCCACACATGGCTGCGCTCTTTGAATGCGAGAGATCTGTAAAGTAGCGTAACTGTTGGAAGCGTGTCGCCGCTGTTGTCGCCAGCCTCATTCACAAGGAGGTCAGTTTCCCGTGCGGCGGCGCGAGTCGGGCTGATTTCGATCAGACCACCGGTCACGGCTCACGGTTGGCCTAATAGGCTCGGCCCAGTGTCCGTCTCGGTAGCCGCTGGCTAATGGCCGCGCCTGGCTCGCTTTCCCGCGCGCGCCTCTGGTCCACTTAGTGCACCTCGAACCGGGTCAACGGGCCTGTCCCTCTGGCCCACAATTGGACTACCGTTACACGGTGCATAGCGGTGCAGTCTACAGCCGCAGGCGGCAGCTGCCACACTGCCGGCGGCGACATCTGTTGGCACGATTGTGCTGCTATCTGTACTAACTCGGTGTGTGTGTTTGGTTTTACAGCTACCTGCAGTACCTGGAGCTGCTGAACCTGCCCTCGGAGATGCGCATGCTCCTGGACGAGTACATGGATGCCGCCAACAAGGGCCGGACTAGCCAGAAGACCTGCGAGGAGATGTTCAGCGGCTGCCAGTTCAGCATCAAGAACCTCATCACCAAGTACAACGGCTCGAACGCCATCTAGAGCCTGCGGAACGACGACCAACGTCTGTTGACCAGCCTGTTGTTAACTTATTGATAGTTATTTATTGACGCATGTGACAATACGACACCAGTGACAGAATGCCAAATGACACAAGACATTGTGTGTTGAGCTGTTGACAAATGACGGGACAAGTGACCGCGAGCGACAGTGTACATAAGCGACGGTGGGACGCATACGACGTGTGACTCGGGTAGTCTGACACATTCGAATTCTCATACCCATTCCGTGCGGTGTGCGGTAGGGACGTAGCAGTCGCGTCATGCAGCATTCATGCATTCGTAACAGGTAGTCCTCATTAGCTACTAGCTCTGACGGGCGGCGCGGCGGTCGGACCGGGACGCCGACGGCCGCGCGGACCGGCGCGTGGCTCTCCTCAGTGAGAGGAGCGTATCCACGCGCCACCGACTCCCACGTGACGTGCGACTGTGACCGACTAGTTGTTGACCAGTATTTGGTGGTTCTTGCTCACGTTCTGACAGGGATTGTTTGTTGTTGCCTGTTGTTACTGTTTTCTCGGACGCGTGTGACGCTAAGTGACGACTCGGATATTACTGTGTGTTATTTATTGCATCGTCTCGACCACAATTGACGTGATATCGCAATGAGACGAGAAGGATGGCAATAAATTCCTCTTCATATATACGATCATTGGCGTTTTCAACATGGAGCAAACTTCACAGATGAGCGAAGAACGCGAAAGCCAGAGGACGATCACACAATGAGGTGAACAATATTCACTGTTACAACTGCTCAGCATAATCCCAAATACGAATTTGGTATCACTAGCTAAGGATGTTACAAAGTAGACAACATATAGACAGGAAGGAATGATGAAAACGCTACAATCACTAGAATGGCTTGGAAGAACTAAACACATTGTGATACATTTGTGATCGCAAAACTGTTTGACATTTATTCCTCGGTTATGTGTTTCTGTGTTTATTTTACTACAAAAAAAAGAAAATGAATAACTTGAGCACTATACTTTCGAGCGAAGGTGTACTAGATAATCGTCAGAAATTTTAGCCGAAAAGAAATCGGTGTGCCGCCCGCCAGTTCCGCCCTTTCCATGTGGCGTCGTAACAGCGGTAGGTTTCTCTTTGCCGTCGCGTTGCGTCAGCGGCCAGACGGAGGAGACGCTTCCCTGCGGTACCCCGGCCGCCTCCCATGGCGCCTGATGGATCGCCCCACACCAGATCCGGGTTTCTCTCTCCCCTCGCCGCCTTCTCCGCCGCGCCCACCCACTTTCCCGGCCGACCCGGGCCGCCGCCCCGCCCCGCCGCGCCGGCCGCCGTGCCGGTCACACATCGTGTCACGCCCCCCTGAACACTGCAGAGCAGCGGCCCACACTCGCACTGCAGCAGGGCAGACGGTCGACGAGGAGAGAGAGCGTCTAGTGACCACACTCAACTGACTAACGGTTGACTAACTGACATGGTTGATGACTGATGTTTTATTAAAACCGAATAGATTTCAAGGAAAATAGAGACTCATACTTTGAAATGTATCCCTCAGATGACGAAACGAAAGTTATTTTTAACAAAAAAGACCACAATTTCAAAGGAGGATGAATTTATTTGACTGGTAGCTGGCCGAACACGGATAACTAAATCGAAACACATCATTACATACAAAGCTTCAGACACTCCATTTCCCACCTTTCCCTTCCCAGTCACAGTCTCCGGACCGCCGGACCACCAGCCCCGCTACCGGACTCGGCTCACGAGTCACGGGCCCCGTCACGGCACAGAGCCCTGTCCGCGGCGCCGTCACGGAGCCGAGCCCAGCCCGGTGTCGGTTTCTCCTCACACTGCCGCCTTTCCCTGCTTCCAGCGACGCGTCGCCGGCGTCGGGCTCTCAGGCAAACCGCAGTCAGGAGTCGCGTCGGCGCCGCGCGGCGGCCAATCGTCTCAGACAGCCGCTGGGCGGCCAGCTGCCCGCCGATACCACTCTCTAGTCGAGCTAATTGGCCAATACTGCCGGCGGCCAGCGCCGAGACAGTTTCTATTTTTTAGCACCGCCGTCAGAGAAACGTTCCAGCCAGGCCCGATAACTAGCCGCACAGAGAGGGCCGCACGGTGGGCCGCGCGGTATAGAAAACGCGCCTCTAGCCTGATGTCCAGCCCCGCATCCTATACGCGCGAAGAACGCTCCATTCGTGTCTTCTTTCGACACGCCCAGTTAGCTTCGGTTGGTGTTAGTGTTTTTAACTCGTTGCACTTAATTATGTCTCCATTCAGCTCGTTTCAATGTTTCAGTTCGTTTCAACTCGTGGTTTCAGTTCCTTGGAGTTCGCTTCAGTTTGATGTAGTTTGTTTCAGTTCGTATTTGTTCGTTTTAATTCATTTCAGGACGTTGAGATGGTTTTGTTTTGCTTCAGTTCATGTCAGTTCGTTTCGTCCCGCTTCAGCCTGCTCCATTCTTTCTCAATATTCGGTTTAGTTTGTTTCAGCACGCCCTACACTTTACCACACCGTCACACGTACATATGGTCGTCATTTCGGCTTTGACAAGCGTCATAGTGGAGAAAAGCCGAAACACCCTTTCTCCATCCTCTCCGTAATGCCTACAAAAAACAATGACACAAAACGACAACAAAAGTTAACCCGCGCCCTGATGGGGGGGGGGGGCATTTTGGCCCCCCCTGTGGTTTTTCTTTAATAGCGAGAAAACGGCGGCGCGCAGCGCCGCCAAATTTTGGGTACCTTACCGGGCATCAATTTGACACCTTCAAACAAAATTTCAAGTCACAGGTCACCTCAGGTCAGCAGTTATTGAGGTCAAACTGAGGTCATGTTCGAGTAAAAATGAGCAAAAAACATGACATCTTGAAACGCTCACCAATTCTACAGTTAACAAGCAATTTTAAAGTTCTTTATGTGGTTGTGTAGAGAAAAGACGGCGCTACAAAACTGCTATCTCGGATTTTCGAAATTTTGGGATTTTGACCCCCAAAAATAAAAAAAATGATTTTTTTAGAAAAACTCAAAAAAATTCCATAAAATTTTCGAATTTCGAAAAAACCGGAAAATATGTGATAGTCCCTGCGCTCTTCGATATACATACCAAATTTTAGATCGATACCTCTTTTTTTGGCCAAGTTATAGCGAAAAAACTGTTAAAAATTGATGACGTCAAATTTTTGAACTCATTTTTTAGCATTTCTAGAGCTCGTAGCGCAAAACGGAGACCACCATTGAACTCCCCGTGACGAGCTGCATCGAATCCATACCCATTTTATGCAAAAATATCAACTTTGAAATTTGACCTAATTTGACCTGACCTTGACCTGACCTTGACCTGACCTTGACCAAAACGTGACCTAAGCTGGTCCTTAAGTCTGTCTGACCCACATAATCGCAATTGTCATGTAAAATGGACCATAAAACATGTATCACACGACACTTTCATATTGTGACCCCCCCAGTGACCTGACCTCTGTGACCTGACCTGGTATCAGTGACCTCAAATAGCAAAATATGTGTTTGAAGAACATTTCCCCATCGATGATTTTCAATGAAATGCATTTTACACGATTTTACAACGCATTTCTTGAAATGCCTGTAAACGGTGAAAATTCGACCTTTGACCTGACCTGTGACGTCATCGGTTTGACCGAGGTCAATGAAATTGGGTCACAAGGTAGTTCCCCGTTGGGGCTATCCAACACCGTTTACCGCTTGTCGCTATGTTGCGTGGTTCTCGAGATCTGAGGGGGGCCAAAATGCCCCCCCCCCCATCAGACCACGTTGCTCGGCAGACCCCATCTGGGCGCGGGTTAACCCTCGCACGACCAGGCCATTTCTCATAACACGAACGACCAGGGGGGGGGGTTGTTACGACCCCCCCCCTGGCGTTTCGAAACGGAAGGTCGTAGAGCTTAGCGGAAAAAACCAACGGATTGCTCTCAACGAGATCTCGCGATTGGTGGTATATTTTTTGGTCCTAGGTCAACATTTGACCTACTTATGACCGGTCAAAGGTCAAGTTTTCCGAAAAAATCAAATTTTTTCAACTTTCCGCGGCGATTGCGGCAAAACGGTGGGAGATATCGACTTAAAACCTTCACTATCGTGTTCCTTGATCAATTCTCTATCGTTTGGTATGTATTTCGTTTCCCTAGCTCTAAAAATGGCGCGTTGGGAGCGCCGGAAGTCGGCAAGGTCACAGTCGGCGGCAGAAATTCGAAAAATCAAAATTTAAATTTTTGAAATCTGATTGTATTTTTGGATTTGGGAGGTCCATTTGCTCCCTATAGAAGCTAATATTGCTGCATATTCCCATTGAGGTGACAAGAATTAGCAAAATAGTGGTTCGGGCGCTTTTCAAAAATAGTACCGGACGCTGTTCCTCTTGTGACGTCATAGCTCCGTGACCTGACCTGACCCGGTCAATTTTCTTGCACCACACGATAGCCAATGCTTGCCCCAACATGCATGGGAAGTTTCATCATGATCCATCAAACAATGTGGGTATCACCGGCAGAAAACCTAGGGATTCGGCGCACACGTTTGGTAACTGTCGGCCGGAGGCTGTACCTCTTACTGGCTGTCACTAAACCTGGAGCATGCCTAATGCTGCACATCATTCTTTGCACGCAAAGAATAAACGGTTCAAAGGCAGGCAGACCGGCCAGACGTGATGCTACACCAACATCATTTTCTTGAACTGTACACATGGGTGGAGAACCTGCCCCGGCCACCCCGGCCGTGGCCGGGGTAACTTTCAGCCTACCCCGGCGCAGCCGGGGTAACTTTTTCACTCTTATAAATCCTAAAAGCTGTCGCCATACGAGGAAAGGAAACCGTCGTTCTTCGGATGTTGACGGCCATGGGCGTATTATTGCAAATCAGGTAGGCATTTCCTTAACTTACCATAATCTCCAACCCTAGGACCCGTGTGTGGTCGCTAATGCCAAGATTGCTCTCAAACCGTGTTCAGCTTCGAAAATTTGGCGCGCGCCTTCGGCGCACTTTATCATACCCACTGCTTGACCTCACTGCCTTCGACTGGCCTGCCACCAATCGCAACCATACCGTCACTACGGCGTAGCCGTCAGGATGCTCATAAACACCGAGCGTCCGTCACGCTTCGAGCTCGGAATTTTGTAACCGGGATACGTGGGCAGTACTGGGCATGGGCACCCATTTTAGTGTTTTGGTTCGAACGTTCAATTGTCTCTGTAAAGCTCGTACGAGGTGAGATGTCATTTTTTGTAGCTATTTTGAGACAATAAAAGCTGAAAACGCAACATTTACTCATAATGGCTTATGATATGGTTTGTCTGTGGTGCGATATTGCATAAGTCTATTGTAAAAAAATCACTTAAGAGAAAATCGCCTTTTCAGTCATCGCCAACAAAGTTATGAATGGTACTATGTCGGATACGACGCTCATCCTTGAACAAACACTACATCCATTATTCCATTCCCATGAGTCAGAATAGGGGTTTGTGATGACCGTTGACAACAACGCGAGCATATATCGTCTTTCCGACTATCGGTCGCCGGCCGGGGTAACTTTTTCAAACATTCTCCACCCATGTCTGTACACCTGTAGACCTGTGTTTGAGTGAACTGTAGACCAGTGTTTCAGCGGTTACTGGTCACCAGTGAGTGGACCACAAAAAGGCCTACAGGAAAAGA